TCCGTTGAGTTATGTACAGGTGTGCACTGAAGGTTGCATAMRAGAAGCAAGCCATTCCATAACTTGATGGATGCACACTAAGCCTGAATTAACATTTAAATAGCATAGCAAAACTAAAGATTTTAGTGTGTTAAAAAATTCTACTTTTATTCTAAAAAAATCTTCAGCACATAGCATGTTCTTCTCAATCATGTCAGCATACACTCCATAGAGTTATTGATGCTCTTCACGCAATGTCAGTCAGGCAATGCCAGTTTATGCAATGCCAGTCACGCAACCAATCAGAGTGTGTGTTATATCATGTCTTTGCATAATAAGTTAGACCTCAGCAAACCGTACTTTCATTAAAACATTACACTTCTGTATTACGTTATTTCATACAAAATCTGCTAGTTTAATTTACTACTTTAAGAATTTCTTGTTCTTAAAGAAGCACTGTCTTTTAAATGTTTCAGTATGAGTTGGGGCTTCGTAATTTTAAGGCTGAGCAGCCACACCAACATGCATTGTACTACACCTCGTATGTTTTGGAAGAGATGGCCTGGCATAAGGATGAGCTTCTTGGAGCTCTTGAAGGTATTAACATAAATTTTGCTAGAGTTGTTGAAAAACATTTTCACTTTTTTTAAAATTTTAAACCCTGATTGATGTGCATCCAGCTCTTGCATGGGTTTCACTTAATGTCTTAATTTTTTACTCAATTAAACTTACAGATGTGASCATAGAGAAGCTTTACAGCTTTATCCCAGCACTCTTGAAAAACCTGAATATAGAATGTCTAATTCATGGCAATGTCACCAAAGAGGTATAGCATTAGGCATTTCAAGGTTGAGGAAAAAACTGGGTCAGGTTACCWTTACATTGTGGGACTCTTTTAAATAGCATATTTCCAGGAATGTCTCACCTGCTAAGTACTGTAGAGCTGTTGAGATCGGCCAAAACAAACAAGTTTCATTGTCAACTTGTTCTTTTGTTTTGTTTCTGTTCTTTTGTATTCATTCAATTGGGTTAGATCTTCTTAGAGCTGCGACCTTGTCCCATATTTCCAAGATGGGTCTATTTGATCAGTCTATTTTCACCTAAGACAATCCCATAATGCACTGCAATGCCAACTCAACACAGTTTTCCATCAACCTAAGAATGGTCAATACTAAGTAATTTAATGATCATTATTTAACCTTGATCATTAGTGCCATATAAATTTAATGATACTGGTATTTTTCATTTGCAGGAAGCTCTTTGTATTATAGACAAGGTAGAGAAAATATTCATTGACAATTGTGGTACCAAACCRTTGTTACCAGCACAGTTGAGAAGACACCGTGAAATACAGCTTCCACACAGTAAGATAACGATGTGATTATGTTTTTCTATAGGGATTCAGTTAGTATGTATTTTATACTCCTATGTCCTATGATTGTCATTGGCAATCCCTCTATGGAGTAAAAAGAAATCTAGTTGRTCAGTGTTTATTGTTTAGAGCTCATTGATGACTTTCTAGTCTGATTGGACAGATTGGGCATTTGAACTCTGTAGAGGTTGGAGCTGTGCCAACAGCCTGTTGTCTTACTTTACTTGCTGACTGGAGTCACTCATTGTGCTTCTTCCTCTGTTTTGTTAACTTTACAGATTCCTCTTATGCATATGAGGCACTTAATGAGGTGCACAGCAATTCGTGCATTGAGATCTACTATCAGGTAACTTGACCCCTAGAATTCTTACTGCGGTTTTCTATATTCTGTCAACTCTGACATTTCAACAGCTTGTTGTGAAATTGGTTTTTCACTGCATTAATTCACCCACTGATTATTTTTGATGGCAGTGAAAATCTCACAATTAAAGAGTTAGCAAAATATCAAACCCGCAGTARGCATGGTTGTTATGTTTTCCCATTTCAGACCACCTCATTCTCTTGATAAAAAGTTTTTCGAGCCTATGAAAAGTGGCCTATAGACGTTTTCCAGGGTTTAAAATTCATCTTTTCTTATTGAAATTTTAAAAACGTTAGTGGGCCACAATATCAAACTTGTATTAGTAATTTAATCCTTGCATGTTGAGTATTTKTTTAGTGRAGCAATTCCACTGTTTTCACATTTCARACCACATGTCATTACCTTGAGCATTATTCTGTTATTTAAAAGTTAAAACACTTAACGCTTACCATGATTACAATGGCAGTGAAGATCTGAATGTTAACTAGCTCATATTTTTCTTTATTTGCAGTGTGAGCTCCAAGCCACCAGGAGCAACATGTTGCTTGAACTATTTTGTCAAATCATCAGTGAGCCTTGCTTTAATGAGCTGAGAACCAAAGAACAACTGGGGTACATTGTGTTCAGTGGGCCAAGGCGTGGCAATGGAGCTCAGGTAATATTGATGAACCATCTTCTTTATCCATGGGCTGGGATGTAACCTCGTGCTTCAAGATGTTTAATTGCAAGCCTTCTTGACTTATAATTTTGTCATAATAATATAACAGTGTGATGTGCCTAACTGTGACCAGTCCCTCAGAGAAATATGTTTTTTGATGACTTTCTGGCATATGATTTTTTTTCAGGGTCTAAGATTCATTATCCAGTCTGAAAAAGAGCCTGCACATCTTGACTCTCGAGTAGAAGCTTTTTTACAAGGGTTTGAGGTTTGTATCCTATCCATTATCAGTGATTTAATTTGCAGAATTGCATATCTTTCTTTCTTTGCTGCCTTCATGTAGGGCAGATTTTTTGGGGGGTGCCTCCTCTAGTTTGGGACTCATCCCCAGGCATGTTCCCCCCAGACCCTTCTCTGGATTCATTTTGCATGGCAAAATGTTTCAGYTTCCTTACCCCTTCTCAGATTCTCAGACCTGCCCCTTTTTATGTTTTCACTCGCTATTAAATCTGCACTTGACTAATCTGAGGTATTTCTTATAAACAGGAAACTCTTAAGAACATGGAGAATGATGATTTCAATAACCATGTTGAAGCACTAGCTGTAAAGAGACTAGAAAAGCCAAAGAAGTTGGGATCAGAGTCTATGAAGCATTGGTCTGAGATTTTATCAAGACAATATAACTTTGACAGAGGTAAGAGTTTAGTTTTTCATGACTGCAATAATATTTATCTTATTTTTTGGGTGCTCAAACTTGAAATTGTTACTACACCTTCACCTTGGGTCACAAGATTTCATTCAAAAATTAATACAGTATGTTTTCTTTGTAAATTGTAATATTAGTTCTTTTATGATTGCAGATAGTATTGAGGTTGYTTTCCTAAGAACAATGACTAAGGATGATCTCATGGATTTTTACAGGGTAAATTTCACATGAATTATATTTAATTCAGTCATTCTATAAAATATATTAATTTAATTTACTAAAAAAGAATAATGCTTTGATGTATCTATCATTATTGACAGTCACTTTTAGCAGTGGATGCACCAAAGAGACACAAACTTGCAATTCACATCTTATCCAAGGAGAGTAAGTAAAAACAAAAATGGTGGAACGAGCAGGAGTGTTTTATCGGGTATAAAACACGAAGCGTAACTGTGTGGTTTTAGGCCCGATAAAACACGATCTGCGAGTTTATTAAACGGCTTAAAAAACTCATGATGTAAGTTCTCATATTGTACAGAATTCTTTACGAAATGAACCAAGTTTGATAGAAAAAATCCAAGTTAAAKTTTATGCAAATGAAGACGAATCTATGTCAGATATAAAACCTCCTTCACGGTCATGATTTCTATTGTTTCCTTCATGAATTATTATTGAGCTTTTTAACGAGCTATAAAACATTTGAGTTGGGCTAAGATACTGGAAACTATGGTTCCAGCTAGATCTATATTCATTGTTCCAAAAAAAGGGAATTGTAATTTCTAAATTGGTTGGGGAGGGTATGTACAGTATGTTGTAGCTTCTGAAAATGTCCCTACTGCAGTAGCCATGTTTATTGGAAAAAATTTTGGTTGGGTATCTGGAATGCTTTGTTTCTGTCCACAAAATTCATTTCAAAGTGCTCGAATGTGAGGCTTGCCTGGCAAAAATCTATTGTTCCAGTTAGATCAAGGGGGTGCTGAAAGTTGCAAGGAGTGGCATGGGGGAAGGGGCCCCTAGTATTATACTCCCCCATGGAGGATTCATTTCAATTTATCTTTAATATTAAATTGACTTCTTTTTAGTGTCTGAAAAAAGATGTGAAAATTCCAATGATGTACAATCAGTTGATGGTAACACCAAAGGAACTTCAAACCTTGTAAGTATATTATTCATCTAAAGTAATTTGTAAATTATTCCCTATCACTCAATAAGCTGATATCTACTGTGTTATTGGTGCTTGAGATTGTGAAGTCTTGGTCATAAATGGTGMACCACCCTCCTAAAAGATTCCTGGATTGTGCACCCACTTCTAGAAAAAAAACCCATGGATTTGCCCCTAAAGTAGCCTGTGTACATGTGCTCTCACCCCTCCTCCAATAGAGGGAAATTTATCATTGGTGAACAGTATTACAGTAGAGTAGATTATTGAATTTAGTTTTTTTCACTTATAAAAAATATAACAATAACTCAAATTTATGATTATTTTTTTACAGCCTATTTATATCCAAGATGTTGCCACTTTTAAAAGCAGTCTCCCTCTGTTCCCTCTGGTACCTCCTTACAATGGCCAAGCCAGGAAATCAAAATTATGATTCATTGGTAAATGACGTATTTGATATAATCAATAATAATTATGAGTTTAGTGTCCAAAGAACTCATTCTCAAATTCAAAAGGCTGACATTTTTTGCAAGTATTTAACTTCAAATTTTCTCATTTTTATTCGCATTATATTCATACATTTTATTTTATCCTTATCAAATGAAGAAATTCTCTAGATGTAAGTATTGTCTGGTACTGAAATAGTTTATCCAATCAATAAAAACAAATAAACTTAAGTAAAAAGAAAGTACTTTGATGCTACAGATCTACTCAGACACTACAAAAGCCACTGAAAACAAGAATTGGAAAACAATAAAAAGCAACTAAAAACTTAGAGTTTAATTGAAAACTTTATGTTTTGTTAAACATTTCTTCAGTTGAGGTGATTGTCCAAATCCATCGAACAAACAACTCAAACCAGCTAAATATTCAAACATGAAGATAGAACCAAACAGAATCTTTGTGGAACAGATTTTTTTTGAAGAGAAAATTAATTGATATCAGTGTGTTTATATGATAAGTTATCACCCATTTTATMAAAGTTTTCCTATTAGATATCGGAGCTATCCCTGATAATCATTTAGTAATCATCAACAACATAGATTAATATAGATGAATAATCTCTTTTAATATTTAAGACATCCAGGCACCTAATAATTATTATGATCAATTATTACGCTGATAATTATTTTTTATTTCATATCCCTACACAGTTTTTCCTTTAGTTTTTTGTGGCTAGGGTGACACCATCTGCAAAAGGCAGCATAACCAAATTGACCCGGCCATCTTTGTGAATCTTCATGTTCAGTTCATGAATAGCCTTTGTGTCTTCATCCATTGTGGAAGGATCTTGAATCACTTTACCAGACCAAAGTACCTAGTTTTGAAGAAAGCACTTTAGTTTACAGACAATAATATTCAAAATRAGGATTTGAAAGTTTTGCTTATTAGATGAAAACCTGCATATATATAGCTGCCCTCTGATGTTGGGGGGACTGGGACAAGGGGATTAGGGAAGAGAGGGGGAGGGGAGGGGAATTATTGAAATTGCATGAACAACTAAGTAACAACCAAAGGCCAGTAATGTAATGGAATTATATTTTAAGAAGTTTAAGGTTTTGGTGACATCAGAAACAGCATGTAAAATATATGGTAAGTAATATTGCACAATGGCTATCCTCATGTTTTTTATTTGACCAGCTGGATCAGATATGATTGAATCCAGAYTGTGCACAATAAGAGAAAATTCTTAGGGATCTTTGGAGCGCTATTTCTAAAGCTTACAATCTTAAAAGTTTGTAGACAACATGTATATCTGGGCAACACTTAGTCTCCTGTGCGGGCAACTTCAACCCTTTAACTCTAATCTATAACTCTGGTGGGCTTCCTTTGGCAATGTTATGAAAACATGTTTTTTTGTTATTTTTTTGTTACTATTGAAAGATGCCTGATGGAAACTAGGCAACACAGYGTATATTGTACTGGGTTTATAAACTGAAGTGTAAAGTTTGTTATTTGATAACTTCAAAATCTTAACCAAGCTACATGTACCATTAACTTGAAAAACAAGATTGACTAAATAAATCCTACTTACATTATCAACAGCAATCATGCCTCCTTTCCTCACCAACTGGAGAGACTTCTCATAGTAGACACTGTAATTAACTTTATCAGCATCAATAAAAACAAAGTCATAAGTTCCTGCCTCCCCATTGGYGATCAATTCATCTGCAATTCAAAATCAAATCAAAAAGTTTGAAAATTTTGAAGCATGATTTTTCCAAGTTATTCTTGCTACAATGTTAGGTAATGGGACATACTGTAGCAACAGTAGTCAAGGGTTCAAAGTGCAGCACATGAAAATATAGTACTTAATTCACATTTTATATACAGCATATTACCAAGCGTTTGGATAGCAGATTGAATGCGCAAGTCAACTTTGTCCTCAACTCCAGCCTGTAKACCAGTCAATAAAAAAAGTTACAAGAAATGCTATAATGTTCATACTGTAATAATAACTTCATAAGCAGGGTGGTAATGGGTTATTTCATGAAAATGGTTTGGCCATTTTTAAAATTTTGGTGAAATGTGAAATGTCCACTTTCATCATACAGTATAACATAAATCACTTCATTTAAATAGTGTCTAGTCGTAGAAGAATCCTAAACAGCCTGTACCAAGTATGACTTATCATTTTATGATAAACTTAATAATTATTTGGCAGTTTTATTTTCCTTAAACTGCACCTATTAACCCCCGATTAAAAATTAAAACAAGTACACTCAAAAGCCTGGGGTGATGTCACAGTCASTAACATATCAGAAGTATAAACCTTCATTACGCAACATTCAAGTGAAGAAATATTTCACCATTCAACTATTCACTTTATGAAGAATCAATACTGAAAGTATTGTAACAGGATGGGGTGCACTTTAAAACATTTTACCCTGCATTAGGGACTAATATTTATAACTACAGACAGGACATCCTCACCTCCTTGAGCACTTGCTTTCCAACCGCATTAAAGTATTTATCAGTTATGTCACATGCAATAACTTTTCCATCATCAGGAATACTCAGAGCAAAATTTAAAGTATTGTAACCAGTATAGACTCCTAAAAAATCAAGACAACCATTCAGTGTTATCTTTTTTGCTTTTCTTATGTTCAATATTGAAGTCCCCAAAATGTTCCCCAAAATGTTCCCCTGTTGAATTATTCATGTAAGAGTGGGGTATTGTCTCCTGGTTCAACAGCCTATCCCAATTTGGAGGCACAATACTAATCTATTAACATTTCACACTCATGATTGTAAGCCGCACGGCTGCCATAAGCGCCTTAATACGCAACCTGTAAAATCCTCCACTGGTTATTTATGTGAAGCGCATTGAGATATTCGAAATGGGCTATATTATTAAGTACCAATTATTATTATATCATTATCATTATTTTTTATTTTTTACTCACCAATTTCTATTACTTTTCTGACATTCATTATTGAAAACAAAACTCTAAAAAGCTGAGATTCTTCTGCTGCACCAAGCATTCTGGTTTGCACCCCATACTTCAATGTTTCCTGACCATAAAAAAAAGATGATCAAATTATGTTATCTGGATTTATTTATCACTGGCAGACCATATGTTCCCTATTTGATGGCCTCCCTCTAGGGGGTTTTGGTCAATAGAGAGTTTTAGATTTAAGCTCATGGCAAATGTCAGTTGACCAGTGAAAAAGTATTTTACATTACTGAAAAGGACTTGCAAAAGAATCCAAGTAGTAGGGAAAAAAAAGAATATTTTTGTGTGCAGTGAGAATTTTTGTAAAAGGTAAAGTAAAATACAGGAAAACGATGAACATGTGGTCACGTTTGCCGTTTGTGGGAAGAAAAACATTCAATCTAAAACTCTCTACTGCTGTATTAATAACCTCTGCTTCCTGGGGGGGGGGGGGTACTCCCCTATATTCGCTATACGGGTACGTGCCACCAAACAGGGTATGGTTTTCAGCAATTCTACTCTGGAACAGGGTATATAGAATCGCGCTCGCTCTGGAACAGGATATATAAAATCACACTCTCTCCTCTCTGGAACAGGGTTTTCAGCAATCTTGCTCTGGAACAGGGTATGAATTTCAGCGATTTTTACTCTGGAACAGGGTCAGGGTTCAGAGGGCTCAGCGGCACATCCCTACCCTAAACGGGCAAGAGTACCCCCGGGCTCTGCTTGAAGGGTACAATGCATCACACTCTTATTTGATTTATTTAAATCAAGTTTTTTAGGGGGTTCAAGGATAAAGAAACCCAGTGAAATCATGATAAACGAAAATCGATAATAATCGATGCTAATAAATCAATTAATRGTAATCATGAGTAGCAAATTTGTGTAATCGATGAAAGTAGATGATAATAAATTAAAACACTTTACAGTGTTAATCATTTACTGTAACCATTTACTGTAACCATTAATTAATCGATTTCCATTAATTACTAGTAATTACTTCTGTTGTATTTAATAACTTTTTCTAATGTTCCCCTCTACCAGAAACTTATAAGGGGAGTAGCCCCTTATGAGTTTCTGCCCCTGCTCTGCATCGCAGGGGTTCTTTGTTGCTTTCCCCCGACCCAAGTAAACCCACCGTTCTCACGTATATATCAAAATGTTACTTTGTAAATCGATCGATTGGAACTTTGTTTCAAGCCGTTATATTCCAAAACAAKTGTACCTCTTTCAGCTTTCTCAAGGGTTGTGGTTCCCTCAAAGAATGTTGAAGGACGTAATTCATGACCGGATTTTTCCCTTCGTTGTAGTGGCTTTTGACATTAAAATATTGCTCTGCAGACAGCATCTTGCCTCTTCTTCCCAACACATAACCTAAGACTCCTGCTCCTAAAACTCCGGCCACTCCGGCACAAATCACGAACTTATTATCGCCAAACGAAGCCATTTTGATCGTCAGTACCCTGATCCTTTCGTGAATCACGTGCTCACAGYTKTTTTCCAACAGGCAGCCCAAGCCAAGGGTCCCAAACCTCCGGTCTCATACGTACCTCAGCCCCTCTCGCCCTCTCCCCCCTTTTTTTTCTTGCTTCCTTTGAGAAAAAATGCGCTCAACGAATTCATCATAAATAATACAAATCTTTTTTTCAGTAAAATTGATTAATATCAACTGAAATACGATTTATCGAACTTTGGGTTTCCTGTGATGAGGATGCGACCGGGAGAAACTGAGAAYGAAAATATTTTTGGCGGGAAATAGGGAAGAAAAATAAAATGGCGGAACATTTTCGTCTTTGTGAACCTTTTTAGATAAGTTTATCAGTTATAAGTTGCTCGGCTTATAGTTAAGGATGGATAAAAATACTTTTGAGCACGTTCAAGGAAGTGGACTTGAAGAAGATGCAGAAAGCGATGAAGAAATTGAAGTAACAGCTGCCGAAGTTCTTGAAAAATTGGAAGAGGTAAAGACTATTAACTTAACTTATTAAATCAACTCACAATTAAATCGTATTCTTTAATAATAATTTAAAACTTTGGAAGTATAATTAAAAGCAGTATTTGGTTTTTGAAAGAGRGGGTAGGAAACGAAATAAATTAAATTAATTTAGAATTAAAGTCCTTTCATGCCCTTAATATGTAGGCTTGGATAAATGAAAAATTTGCACCAGAGCTGTTGGAAAGCAAGTCAGATCTAGTAGAATGCATGRTAGAACAAATAAAATCAATGGTAAGTGTGGAACTTATACCACAGGCTTCCCAAGCTCACTAGAATGTCTCATCAAATCCCACCACAGGGCTGTCAACTCTCCCGGATAAACCGGGAGWCTCCAGATTTTGGACCGTGTCTCCCGGTCTCCAGATTAGAGTATCAAATCTCCAGGATAATCCCCGAAGCTGACCATTTCTTTTCTTGTGAGACTAGACTTTCACAACCATAAAATTCCAATTATTTCATGTTGTTTGTGTTATTTTATATCGCTAACAAAATCAAAACGTTCCTTATGAACTGTTCTTGCAAGCAGGCCATTGTAATATAAGCAATAATCTGATTGGTCAGAAATAAACCAATCACATCAAATGTTACAAAGCGAAAGACGTCTTTTCGCACGCTTTTTGACGCGCTGTGACGTCATGTCCCTTCCCTATCAATTCTCCAGATTTGAATATCTTGGGGGTTGACGGCCCTGCACCATACCTAGTTACAGCTCACTTGGCTGTTATCCCACCCCCCTTTACATTATCTCAAAGTTTCGCTGGTAAACTATGACAATACTCAAGAAAATAATGAATATACTGAGATGGGACGAGTGAATTTCATTTTCTTCATCATATACTACTTTAAGATTATGCACCACTCAAAGTAAACCCTGACGCCCCACCCCGGGATCTGTGGGGATTTGGTGACAATTTGTTACCTTTTTAGCAGCTTTTTGGGTCGTGACTATGAAGGGGAATCACACATTTGTCATCCCTGCTGAAGGAATGTCGGGCATTAGGTGAAGATTTGTTTTGTAAATTCCCAGATGGTTGCCATTGTTCCAGCAGAAAATTTTGGGTCACTGCATTTTACTTTCTGATAGAAACAAGTAATTATAAAAATATGTTGCTAAGCAAATTTAGTTGTCCCAAGGTAGGTCTTTTTTTGCTATTTACCACAACGTTCTTTGCATATGGTGTGGCATTTGTAAGTTTTAGTCTAATCCAGTACTAATCCCCACATATATCCTGGGGTAGGGGGGAGTTCAGGGTTTACTTTGACTGGTGCATTGCTATTGTTAGCATTACTACATGTACTATTTATTTATTTATAGTACTACATGTACTACCACTACTTATTTCATTAATTTTGTATGACCAATGCCAAAATCGATCCTCCCCCTTCCTTATACACCGCTCTCATAATGGCTGACAAGTGCACGAAAAAACGAAGTCACCCAGTCTGACTAATGACATTAGTTCACAATAAAACATATAAAAGCACATGCAACTCGTTTTTAGATGAAAAGTATAGAAATTGACCCTTTGTTTTGACCTGAATTCGCACTATCCACCTTTATTTTGAATGAACAGCCTTGCTCTGCCTTGCAAGATGACTGGGTGACCTCATTTTCGTGCGCTCGTCAGTCATTATGAGAACGGTGTATTGTATGCAGTATGCATGTGAAATGGTGATTTTCTAAGGGGAGAGACTCCAAGAGTCTCACCTTTTTATATGATGCCATGAAATCTGACTTAGAAATTTCTATCCCACTCATTGGAAGAGCAAGGGATATATTTTGAAACAACCATATCTTTTTACATGTAAATATCAATCAGGAGGAAAATTTACAAAGTGTTAAAAAAGGAGATTTAGTTGGTGTTCTTCACAAGTTGGAGGTAAAAACATTTAAATTGTCTTGTAATTTGTATGCGCAATATTTTTGAAGTAGGAATCTTATAGAGGATATTTACATGGCTGTTCAGAGATACAGATTTTATCTTCGAGTGTTGAGGTCTTATGTTACTAGTACTCTACAGGGAATGAGTAAGGCATTCTCAACACGAGAAGATAAAATCCATGTCTCCAAGTAGCCCGGTAATATTCTGTTTAATATATAATTCATTATTGATGAAATACAATTTTAGTGGATTTCTACTTAGTGCGATTTCTAAGATTCTTACCAGTGGTGTCGTGAAGATATCATGTAATTTCTTCATATTTTAATGTAAAGAAGTATAAATCGAAACACAAATAATTAAGGTGTTTTAAATGCTTTCGTTGACTACGAAAAGCACTTAATATACAGTAACAAGCTATGTGATAATACAAGAATAATAATAGATAACCCCAGTAATTAATTCCAGCTATTCTTGGATCTTGGATTGACCTCATCACCTATCGCTTATTACCTATAGTCATTTGCCCCTTAAAAGTTTTTTGAAATAGCTGTATAAGAGAAAGGAGTAATGCTTGGACAATTACTCCATTATTACTCAATTAATCTACTCTTTTCTTCTTGTCTGTTGCTAATTATTTGTGTTCTGTCTTTACTTAGATTGATAGAATACGATATGTATTAAGTAGCTTTCTCCGAACAAGGCTTCAAAAGGTGAAGTACTTATCTTTTATCTTCCATTTATTCCTTTTTGCTTGTTTTTTCGCCTCCTGCAAAACCCAGACTGCTGAAATGAATACTAATTCAATCTGTTACAATGCACGGGCATAGTTTAGCCTAGAGTTTGTCTCAGAGTTCAATACAATTTTGGGCTTAAAATTCAGTGTTTTAAATTTTGTCTTTTTTTTGTTTACCATAAACCTCGTTGAGTTAATTTGTGGTCCTTTTTTACAGATAGAAAAAAATGTTATTCACATTTTGGAGCAAGAAGCAGCAAGAGATGCTGATGAACCTGCTAGACTCTCAGCTGAGGAATTCCAGTATGCAAAAGAGTGAGTGCCTCAACAATTAATTTTGGCTTGCATTTCCAGATCAATACTCTCAATGTTTCCATGTTTTCAAGCTTGTTTCTTATTGTTGATAATTTGTCTAATGCATATTGCCATTTACTTAGGTTCGCAGACAACATGGAAGGTCTATTCAAAACCCTATGTTTACAGCACATGCCCCCCAACATGCAAAGTATAGATCGTAAAAAATCTGGTGAGTTTTTCATAACCATCAAGTTAGATGATTATGGGTGAAGAAGGTGGGGAGTATGAATCAATTCTTTGTTTGACCTATTCAAATTTATGTTTCTTCTCACATTAATTCCTTACATTAGTAAAACAAGAAATGATACTCTTGGGAGTCACACAAGGGGGAAACCTTTTTAATGGGAAACATTGTACCATGGCAAATAATGTCTTTTTTTCAGATAAAATAAGCCCTTTTGAAACTAGCAAATTGTTTCACTCCATGTAGATTTGGCAGGAATGTTCATGCCAAACCATATATGCGTGTCTCCCTTAATAACTCTTAGCCTTCACCCTTTTATATAGCTACATGTATGTTATTATTTGGAATGAGAATTTTTTGTTCTTACTCAAACATCCTTTCTTTTTTTCAGTTCCCAGACCAGATCTTGACAGTTATATATTTCTGACTGTTTTAGAAGAGCAAAATCAAGTAATGGTTGATCCAGAGTAAGTATGATCCATGTACTGTGATTATTGCATTATGGAGGGATAGTAGTGAGTACTATATTATTTATAATTTTATTAAATCGGCTGGATAAATTATTTGAACACATGCTATTCAAAAATATTTTATCTTTTGTAGTTTTGTAACCCCTTTCCCAAACCTTATGTTAAAGCCACCCCTTATCAATACTGTGCTAAATAGTCCCTTGCATCATCTATAAACCTACTACGTTTTTGCTATGTTTAACCCAGGAAAGCATAAATGGTTATGTTTGCTAATTGCCAACCCTTGTGTCATAATAATTGTATAGTAGTAGAATACTTTGCTGTTCAAATCTAGGGTCTCTCTAAATTGCTTATGTTTCAGAATGTTAATCAAAGACTGTTATGAATGTTAATCACAGTTATAAATGAGCTTGTTTTTTTTTTTGTTTTTTTTTAAGAAAAAAAGACGGTTTGAATTTATACCAGAAGTCGGAATAATATGTGGAGCACGTCCATATCTGACGACTTACAATCTGGCCCGGGGAGGGGGGGGTACTCTTGCCCGTTTAGGGTAGGAATGTGCCGCTGAGCCCTCCGAACCCTGACCCTGTCCCAGAGTAAAAATCGCTGAAATTCATACCCTGTTCCAGAGCAAGATCGCTGAAAGCCCTGTTCCAGAGAGGAGAGAGCGTGATTTCATATACCCTGTTCCAGATTGAGAGCAATTTTATATACCCTGTTCCAGAGTAGAATCGGCACGTACCCGTATAGCGGATATAGGGGAGTACCCCCCCCCCCCCCCCCC